GCGTCAGTTTAGTTAATCTATTACTGAATGCTGGAAACGAGTGTTTCCTATGCAGTTATTCTGCTTTCTACAATATATAAGGGGGGGCTGGGCATGGTTGTAACAACAGGATGGTTGTAATAGCATCACTTTCACCAAGGGATGACCTATGAGGTATGTAATACATTTGTATGACCACCTCCTCTCTGACCTTGCATGGATAATTTCATAGCTGTGTGAAGAAGTGTGCAGATTTTAAAGCCCAAACACTGATGTTCAGGTATAAGAGTGATTTTTTGGACCAAGTCTAAATTTTGATTAGTCTGATACTGTTGAAGTTAAAATTCTATAACTTATATTACATTAGAGAGCAGTCTTTTGGGTATACGCTGCTACAACTCGTTAAACAACAGCCGACAGGGGTGGGGATGGTTGTAACAGATTATTTAAATGTGTTACTACTAACCCCGATTACAACTAAACACATTTTCTCTATGTATCTATATTCTTTGTTCAGCATGCCAGGAGAGTTGGTGAGAAAAACTGATCAGATGAGGTGAGGCAGGGAAAGACAGTAAGGTCTGACCCCAGAGAATACTCTATCTGCCATGTGACATTGAGCAGGTACTGCAAGAAATTACAAAACGTCACAGAAGAGGATCAACACAGCTGCTCTGTGCGAGCTATAACAACAGAAGTCTTCAGTGCCAGTCTTGACTGGTTACCTGACTGAAGCAGCAGACTTGTATTTTGGACTCACTCCACATGAGGTACTAAGAATCTGACAGGTAGAGGTTAGTGAGTTAGACCTCAGCAGGAATTGGTAATTTGTCTGTCTTATTTTTTAAAAGTTTAATTTTATGGCTTTTTTGCCTTTATTTTGACAGGACAGTTTAAGCGTGAAGGAGGGAGAGAGGCAGCAAGGCGCCATGGGCCAGAATCGAACCCATGGCCAATGCGGCAGACATAGCCTTTGTGCACTGGACGCTTGCTCTACGCAGTGAGCTACTGGGCATCACATATGTAACATTCATTTTATGTACATTTTTTGTGCAGTTTTTAATTCTCTGACATAAAATTTCAGCAAGTTATAGGTACTGAGACAAAAACAGAAACATTGCCGGTCTCCCTTTAAATAAATCTTGATATTGATGAAATGTAATTTGTAATATTAAATATGGCTTAAATTTATGGATTATTGTAATGATTATTTCAAAATGATTGGTTTGGTCTTTTAAACATTAGATAGTGTAAACTGTCCACCAGAATGTCTAAAAGCCAAAGGTGATGTCTTCATATCGCTTGTTATTATCTTTATTAGTCTATTATCATAGAAATGATCATAGCATCAAAACTGTTGCCAATTTCTCATTCTTGTCAATTGATCTGCTAATTATGGTCAATTAGTTTTAGGATTAATAATATGGACTTTCTGATATTCCACTACAAATGCATTTAAGTGATTTTCCATGCATGAACAGTAATACAGTCACACTAACATAGAGCAAATAACACATTTATAAGATAAAACACAATATATACGCACTGTACATACATGTGTAGCTATGTATATATAATCATATTTTGACATTACATTTACTACAATTTCAATACATTATGTAGCAATAGGTGTTGTATAATTGTTACCTATATACAATGTGGAAACTATATTAAAACTGTAGTTTACTAAACTTCAAGCTACTTCACAATGAAAAGAAGGTAAATTGTATCTTAACTACTCTCAAAAAATTTAAGCTTGTCAAAGTAAAACCATTTTCTGAGTCTGGAAACTCATATATTGTACATGGAGGTACAACTGAACTGTCACTGAGTAAAGTTTAGGTGGGTTTGGTTTAGGGACTAGGGCAGGCCTGTGCTCAACTATGCAGCCTGAGGATGTCTTTAAAGGGCAAATTGTACAAGTGCATTGTCTTCAACCGCATACATCTTGGTTGCAAACCAGAGGCGATATCAGTCAAAGGGTGCAGGGTGTCTACTGGTACCAGACAGTTAAATTAAATGCTTTTTAAGACCCTTTCAAGACACCTTTAACCAAATTTAAGAAAGATTTTTGGACAGATCATGTTTTACTTATTCAAGCATTGCAGGTAAGCAATGCAAGCAGAGGTAACTGTTATGTAGGAATACAATTATTGGAGTGAGTTAAGTCAATCTATATTTTGCCAACAGGTAAGTGCAAGTACTAAGTAAAATGACAATATTATAATTCTTAAAAGTTTTGTCACATTATAATTGTGGACTTTTACATAGAAAGGCATCACTCATTTTCACAAAAATGAATTGAAAGATGCATAAATTAAACTAGATAAAATGTATGTAGCAGTTAAGACCTTGCAAATTCAGGTTTAAGACTATTTAATGACTTTTAAGGCCTAATTCTTATAAAATTGAATTTAAGATTTTTAAGGACCTGCAGACACCCTGAGGTGATTGTCATTTTATGACAAGTGTGGCCAATAAACTGTGGCATTGTGCCATATTGTGTGGCACAAATGTCATGAGAATACTATACATATAAAGTTTTTAATTAACAACATAAGCTACATGTCCCAAAGTAGCTAACTACACTGAAAAGGCCACTGAGATCTGGATGTAGTTCAGCTGCCACCCACTGCACCACTGCAAACTGTAGGTAAACAAGCAACTGCACCACATGGAGTTAACCCCTCCCTGACACGGTCTATTTATATATCACAAATTTCCATGTTCAGACTAAGATTTATACTCAACACTGCTTATATTTTGTACTTATTTTGGTTCGATTTTAAAAAAATAAATTATTATTGCTTACACCCTTGCCTCATTCTACATGTAAATATGTGTGAATGTTTTTATATGCACCATTGTGGAAGACACATCTGCAGTTTTTCATGCTTGCATTGTGAATAAAGTTCTTGAATACTGAATCTAGTAGCCATTCTATAGGGGTTTGATAATCAAAGCACATAAATAAGAAGGAACAAAACATGTAATACATTTATTTAATGCATAAATGTAATCATCATATCAGCAATCAGTGCTCTAACTGTATGTGTAATTGTAAATGTAAGTTAATTTGACAGTACATATCGTCGAGTCGAGCAGATTCAGATCTCTCAGCTCCTGCTTCACTGAACTTCTCCCGATGAACTCTAAATAACCTTGAAGAACCACACACAGTTCTGACAACACTCCGTTCCGCTTTCAAAATGACTCAGTGTTTTATTATAATGCACCGTATGCCAGTTCGCATTACATTCATGCTTTTGAGCTTGTTTATATAAGTATGATTTCCTTTCATTCATTCTTTTTACCTGCTTATTCCCGTTCAGGGTAAATGGGAGCCTGGAGGCTATCCCAGCATGCACTGGCAAGGGGAGCATTGCAGGGAGATGTTTTCAGAACAATTTAATATTCCTGTTGAACCAAACGAAAGGAACAAATGGTTTTTACATTGCATTAGAAATAGGATGAGTGGTTGGAGTGTAGCTGAGATGTCGACTTACTCTGTGGTGCTTTAGGGATGAAGAGGGCAGAGAGAATTGTGAGGACTGATGCGGAGGATCACTGCAACACCTAGATCACAGAAACTGACTTTCAGTTATGACAGAAAATCCATGTCAACAAATTTAAAGTTATGTCTGGACCTTTAATTTAATGAACACAAATAAATTCAAGACCATTACAGATCATTTCAATCACAAGACATGAGATAAACCAGTTAAAATAGTTTAAGAAGTTTAAGAGGATCTGGTCCAGTGGATCTATACTGTAAAACACACCAACAAACATCAACTCATGCCAAGCAACAGAAAGACTTTTCGCCTTTGCACAAAAACAGTTAAGCTCTTTGAAATGTTGCACAAGTCAGAGCCAAGTTTCCATACATTTTACAAAAACAAATTATATGAATTCAGAGGATCCCACCATAACAAACGAAACATCAGTGCCTGTCATTTAACACAATGAAACCATGTGAGAACATGACGGAAAGGAATCCATACAATGAAGACTTGGCACAGTACCATGCAGATACTTCAAGGATGGGTAGGGCGCACATAAATGCTTGAAAGCAAACATGTATTGACAAGAAGCTCCAGCCCATGAGCAAACAAATATGAGCCTTAATATCGCTGAATAACAGATAAGTCAGAGTGGATTTAAAGTGTCAGCGCTGGGATTTCTACCCTTTTATTGAACAGCCATCTTTAGCAGCATTTCACGTGTTAAATTAAAACCAGAGAGCTTCTTGGAACAGCAAGTGTTTGGTTGTTGGAAGAAGCCGGTCTCCCCTGGCACATGAACACAAAATGAGTTTGATTCTTAAAGGACTGGGGTAGCTGTGTGGAATCCAGTTTTGCAGAAGATGAAAGGCGGGTAGAGCTTGTAAATCATGACGGGTGATGGAAAGGCTTTCTCAGGTGCCACATCTTAGCTGGATCAGTCCTCCTTTTGTGGTGTGTGCGGTGTTGCCCCGGGCTCACCTTGACAAGAACCCGCTTATTGAATGACCAGATGCTCCAAGGTGTGTATGGGTTACATTTGTATGCCATAAATCTGGAGTGGAATACATATAGGCTAACATAACCTATCAAAGTGTCCTCTGCGCCCATCTCGCGTATTTACAAATATGTTCTAGTAAATAGCAAGTGAAGTGGGACTCTTAAATTTGAGATGTGTATAGCCATCAGACGGAACTTGACACCCGGTGCGCAACGAGAGCGCGCGGAGATCAGGTTAGAAACATGCATCGCAACAGAACATCTCCACATCACATTCCGCATACTGAAATCTAATCCGAGGACATCAGGATGTGTGACATAATCCCCAAGACATCTGAAAACTGCGCTCCTCTAAACGGGGCTCCAGGGGTGGTTTGGAGAAATATGTGGACCTCTGTTTGCTCTTGTGGGGATATATAAAAGAGGGGCGGACACCAACTGCCCCAAACGTCAGAGCGCACTTAACTATAAATCTCTCCAAACTGCCCTCTGCGCCCGGTGCGGTGTTATGCGCAGACATCTGTCCTGCTTCAGTCCACTATGAGGACAGCGCGCGTGGAGACTCTTCGAGCTACAGTCACTATCTGACCTGGAGGAAATGGAGAATAAACACCCCCGCCTGTGTTGTTTACCATGTCAAGATGTTGTCAGATGTTGGCGATTATGAACATTTGACACAGTTGTGGATATAACGACGCTTTAACTGTTTTACCAAGAGGCAGACGAGAGCTCCTCGCGCTCTGGGACACACATATTGTGCATCTTTTTTTCTCGCTGGAGACGCTGATGTCTTCATTGGACTCCTTTCAGTTGGAGATTGTGGAACTCTCTCGGATTTCCAACGTGGAAACGTAGCATCCAATTAATCAGCGACTGCAACTGTACCCCCGTAAGGCGCAGTGGCACTTGGTCCGCTCTCTTCAACACCTACCTTTGGACTCCAAAGTGTGGAAAGACGCATGGTTTGGTCGCTGCGCCGGATCGGAGTATGAAAAACACACCTGGTGCGTTATTTCAGCTTTTTTCCCTATCAGGACATAAACCGAATTTGAACTCGTTTTAAGGAAATTTTCGGATCGTGGCTGTTGAACGATTCATGCAGCTGATTCCGCTTGGGACACCAAATGAGTCGCGTTTTCTGTTTTGGATTTTAACGCCAAGAGCCAAGCGAGTTTCAGGTCTGCATGGGCCATATTTAAGGTAAGGAAAACATTATATTTTTATCATTTAAGAGCGCAAAATAATTCTCATATCCTCAGATTAATTGTGCGCAAAAGTCACACAAGCCTCGCTTTAATTACCTGCGTAAAAAGAGCAAATCAAAATAGACAAAAATGCAACTTGTGCGTTTATAAAGACAGTTGTTAGGACTTTTGCGCAGCATGTTTAAGCCCAGTATTTATCCATGCATGGCTGTTTAGGTTTACTGCAGACTCAACATGCCATTAGACAGAGTCACGTAAGCTTTGGGGATCGCCATCTGGCCAAGTCGCACCATTATTTAGGCTATCGTTGCCAACACGCTTTGGTGCGTGCTTTCACCAACGCATTTTTATGTGAGGCGCACCCTCCGTGCCTCATTACAAGTAGCAAGAGCTCGCCAGATATCACAACATGAACATATTGTATAAACCTCACAGGTCAGCAGATAATAAATAAGAAGTGAGCTGTTTGTGAATCACAAATGTTTGTAATTTTAAATCCACTTTTACGCACAAATTTACGCACTATCCTTTCTATATTATTTCAATATTTTGGGGGTATTTTGACATTATTAAGTACACAATAATCTATTTTTTATTGTGAGTTATTTATTTGGAATCTTCTGATAGGTTTACTCTGGTATTCACATTGACAACAAACCCCACTATGAGACAGAGGCAAATTGAGATCAAAGCCTTTTGACATGATGACACACAGTTATTAATACACAATGAGTCAGCCTGGCCACACTGTCTCAAACTCTTTGATGACTTCATTATAAACAAGAGTTGGCCTACACTGTGACTGGACTATGAGTGTATTTAGAGTCCCTTATATTATTATTTTAATTCATTTCTAATCAGCTTCTTTTATCTTCCTATTTCAAATCAAATATTGTCTCTTATTTTTGCAGCTTTCTTCATAGGAACTGAGTCTAAGATGAAGTTATGGGATGTTTTGGCCACGTGTTTGTTGCTCCTGAGCTCTGTTGCTACACGGCCTCTCTACCAAAACACTCAGCCAGCCAAGAGGACTTATTTCCCCAGCAGCTACAGTGATTCTGCGTCCCTGTCTGTGGAGGACGAAGAGCCAGCGTTCCAGCGTGAAGACCACAACCTGCAGGAGATCGCCATGGAGGATCAATGTAAGGGCGCGCTGCATGTTTTGACAAAATCTTTTATGGTGTGCAGTCACTGTGATAGTCGGATAGTGATGGATAATTGGCCCACATGGGGGTCACAGTATAGATACATGCTGCTTGTGTAAACCAAACATGCAACTAACCATTTAATCATACAGGAAAAAGTTTTCATCTCATTGTCATGCACTGCCATGTGTTGACTTCTGAGAGGATAGTGGCTCATATGAGAGACAGAAATTACTGTTACAGTTGGTCTGCTGGCCAAGTAATTTAGACTAATTACACTTGAGAAACAGCAGGTAACATGATAGCCAGTGGGCTGAGACAACATTGGAGAGTCCTACATTGATAAGACGCTCAGACGGGCAGGTTATCAGGCGGAAGATCTTAATTTGTGTTTTACTGCTGCTGTGGGTTACATCACACTGATGTCAAAACAAGCTAGCAGCATGAATAAAGAGCACGAGCAGTTCCGATCCCAGAGGTCACTCTCCACATTTCCCCCCTTGTTTATGTTCACCTCTGCCTCTCTGCGACACAGAGACCCATGTCCTTTACCCATGTGCCAAAAGCCGGGAATCATAGGTTTTAGAGGAGGCAGTTTGAACCAGGTCACAGGAATTTACAGTCGAGAGCCTGGACAACACCGGAAAGTTTCAAGCATCAAGTGAGAGTTCTGTGTTTATGTTAATTTTAACAGTGACGGTGGGCAGGAATTTATTTTGTTTGGATCAATGTGACACTGTATCGTCTTCTGACAGATGTAAGCGCGGCCAAGAACTAGATAAGGAATGGAACATTTGGACAAATGTTTGTCCTGCCACCTCATATTCTTGTTTGGGCCGTGGTGACATCACTGATCTGCTTTGTAACCCAAGACCATTAACTATGCACTAATAGTGTAAACAACACTGTAGCTCCAAGAGAGGATGGGTCTTTTGGAATGTGCACGAAAGAAAACTGTGGTTTTCTCCAACGTTTAAAGGCTGAAATCTGCAGGCAACAGCTGCACGTGACTGATATCAGATTCAGCCAATGACAAAATTATGGCCCAATTTGCCCCATGAATCACTCCGTTTGCTGCCATCGGCCCCGTCTATCAGCAGGTGTACACTGTAGCCACCCTGCCTGTCAGCTGACACACAATAGAAGGTGTCTAAATCAAAGGGCAGGTGTGTCTAAACAGATTGGCTCAGGCTCACCTGATACACGAGCAGCGGCCCAATCAGCTGTGGAGCACAGGCGGATCAGGTGGCCTGTGCGCTGCCAGAGGAACAGGTAAGACAAGAGAGATCGGTGACACTGCAATAGAGAGGCTGTTAACCACAACACCACCTGCCAGACATCGCACCCCGCCCCCCTGACTCCTTGACACACATCCATACGCTCACAGACGCACGCAGGTGATGTTATTAGGGTTGGACTGATTGATTCATTTCAGAACAATATGTCTCCATGATCATACGTTACATTCTCTGTTGCCAGACCTACAGGCGTTGGAGTAGACTTTACTCCTTAATAGAATCAACATGTAACACAGGAGGGTCCAAGGCTTTCAGTCAGTCCTGATCGCTCCTCGCAGCAGATGGTGGAGAGCTGTGCTGGTGCATGTTTTGAGTTTCAAGCAGACTACAATCTGCTTCATCTAAGTGACTCAGAGCATATGATTTCCTTTTATTTGGCCTTTTGAAGTCTTGGCATTCTAAAATTACACCCATGAAAGATTTAAATGAGGGAAAAATAATCTCTCGCCGTGTCTCTCCTGGTGGTGTAATTGGTCTGTGCCTACTGTATCAATACAGGGAATTGGCGTGTGAAAGCAAACAAGGTTAACTTAAGCTTTATAGCTGAACAACCTTTTAACGACTGAGGTTATATGAGATTGAGGCCTAATGCAGGCAGCATGCCGGGCCATGTTATTCATGCGAAATCAATTCTGCCCGCATTACAGATGTACAAATGCTCTTCCTCTCTGACTGCAACAATTCTCAAAACGGAATTGACAACACCCTCTGAACTTCAGCCTCCAACTCATCCCCCAACAGCCATCTTGAAAAGAGTGAAAGCAGGGCACCTGCACGTCCATGAGAACAACTCTGGGCTGCTCTCTGCATTCCTCCGCCTGAGACTAATCTATAAATCAGCATGCACTGTTTCTGATCTGCACATTTCTCAGTATTTATGGACATTGTCTGCATTTGTGTCAGCACATATTCTTGGACACTTCACCGTGCATATGCTGGCTGACCATAAGCATGTACAGTCAACGACAACGTGCATCATTTATTCTGCACGAATGGTTTCTCAGTCTGGATGGTTGGGCTGATTGATTTGGTAGATGTTCTTTTGCTGACATTTCTGGTTACGCAATGTTTCATAACCCTCATGTCGTTTTACTCTGTTTGTTTCTTTCCCACAAGGATATTTAAAGTTTTATTTATCTGCTTGTGCAGTCTTAGAAAGTAGGAAATCATTGATAACCATGTTGTTAAGTTTTGTTGAGTTGACTTTTCAGAAAGTCCACGTCAGTGATAAAGCTATTATTTTAATACCAGCTTCATAAATGAATCTGTTTCCTCTGCATCTTTCAGATGACATCGCAGGCCCCTATCCAGATCAGTTTGATGATGTAATGGATTTTATTGAGGCTACCATTGGCAGACTCCGTCGATCGTCGGATCCCAGCGGAGGCTCCAGGGGACGGAGGGAGCAGAGACAGAGAGGAGCAGCAAACACAGGAAGCACGAGAGGTGAGAGGAGAGGACATGGCGACAGGAAGCGTGGCCGGGGGCGAGGGGGAAGTCGAAACGGTAAAGGAGGACGAGGCGAGAAGGGGAGGGAAGGGATATCGGTGCAGACCCGAGGCTGCTTGCTAAAGGAGGTCCATCTCAATGTGACGGACTTGGGGCTGGGCTACCAGACTAAGGAGGAGTTGATCTTCCGGTACTGCAGCGGCCCCTGCGTGGAGGCGGAGACCAACTACGACAAGATCCTCAACAACCTCACACACAACAAGAAGCTGGATAAGGACACACCCTCTCGCACCTGCTGTCGACCAATCGCTTTCGATGATGACTTATCTTTCTTAGACGACAATGTGGTGTATCACACGCTGAAGAAGCATTCTGCCAGGAAGTGTGGCTGTGTCTGAGGAAGTGACAGCCGTGACCAGCATCTGTGAAGTAAGGATCACATTTACAAGCTGGTGGGATCTCTGTTGGAAGTGGGCATGCGAGGTCAAAGAGGGAGTTTACTGTTTCTAATTTTTGTCAGTAGACATCAAAGACGATGGAGCAGCAAAAAGGTGTATTCAACTTTGACAGTCCACGCTCAGTCCATCAGAACCCTGACCAGCATTTGACTGTTCAATCAGACACATGCAGAAATGTACGAGGCCTGTACCGATTCGCAGGAGAAACGATACTGTTACACTTCCAGATTTGCTAACTGTGCTGTCAAAAAAGGTGAGAGTGAAAAAAAACTTCTGACAAAGTTGGCTCTTTTTTCTGGAGGAATTCATTTTCCCAGGAACATCACTTTTTCCATAGCTGGCTCCTAAGACTCCAGATGAACACAGAGATTTGAGGAGTATATTCAGCTGCGGTCTAAATCACTTTCACTGCATAGTCTGGATGTTGACATTTACATTCAGAGCCAAGGGATGACAAATAACCACGCCGGAGTTCAGCAAAGACTTTTTGGTGCAACGCATCTACAGAAAATCCAATCATATATA